TTGGAGTAACCTTAAATTACAGTTTGATTGATCAGTGTGTAGTCGCCACTGAGCCGGTTAAACCTGAGGTTGGCTCACTACAGTTTTAATGGATTATAACAGTCCAGCTTCTAACTCTTTTGAAAAATGTTGCAAGATGTTTTTTCCTTTCGCTATTTACTGTTTGCTTAAGTCTTTTACCATTCTATGCGAAACTTGAACAATTAAACGTGAACAAATGGCCAAAATGAACGACCGAGTGGTCCGAGTACCTAAGGAGAGACTGGGCACTTGTAGGTTAAATCACGTTTTTCTCAAAATCCACCCGTATGACCCCACCTCAAAATTTCAGGAATAAGAAAATGGCTCTGATTTACCATTAATGCAAAGTAAAGTAAAAATCTGCAAGACAATTTTTTCGCAATCTAAGAAAATGTGAAATCAAAAATAGCTCAAGATTTTTTTTAAATTTTGGCCCTAAACGTGATTCACCCCTACAAATCAACTGTTAAAATTTCATCATGGGTTGTACGGTAGGTTGTCGAGCAATCGTCGACCAAAGACTGGCGTTTACAACTTTGGACGAGAATTGAATTGCGCATGCCCTTTATTTAAGCGCTCGTTTATGTGACGCCATGTATCTCGTGCGAGAAAGAAAGAGAAAACTAGAGCTCTTTTACCGGTTGTTTATCCAGTGTTTTTGTCATATATTTTGGCCCTGGGCTTAAACACATGTTTGAACTGAGTTTGAAACTATTGCTCCGTATACCAAAATGATTTAACGCCTGTAGATGCACGTGTGTCCCTGTTGTCGTGTTGCCAGCGTTACTACCGCCCCTTCCCAGATCTAATTAATTTTGCCAAATAGACGATGCTGTTCCCTTGTTTTCTAAGAAAATAACGCACTTCTGAGGTTTAGAGAAAATTGCTGAACGATCTTGCGTACCGCTCATGCGTTCACTAGCCGTTTTGTTTTAACCTCAAACGTGCTTTATTTTCTTAAAGCGAACATGTGACATCATCATCTTCTTTTTGGTAAACAGAAAACAGAAAACAGAAAACAGAAAAAGAAACAGTGTCAGATACTACCTTAGGTTTTGTTGTACCTCAGCTGATCGTACCACAAATTATTATTTGTTTTATTAGTTTCGATATCATCCCGAAAAA